CCTGCTGAGAAGATGATGGTGATTGAAAGCGATAGAGAAGAGACAGTTTAAAACTTTGCATTGCCTATCTACAGTCTCACTATCACTTCTGCCTTTGAAAAGAGGTGGGGGGAATTGAAACAGAACAAGTTCCCTTTGTTCTGTTAAATAAATGAAAAGTCATTCAATGTCCACTTCTTTTTAGGAGAAAAAATAGCTGGATTGTAGCAGGAAAAGCTAGGAGTGAAAAATGCAGCTGGTTCAACTTTTGAACAGTTTACAGGGCTGAATGGAACTTGTGTTTACCTGTGTTTTTTTTTTTTTTCTCTTCTAGATCAAAGATAATGTATGTGCATTGCAGAATGTATTGTCTGGGCAATGCCAGCTGTATTTTCTTTCCTATGTCTGCAGGGAGAGAGACTTGCTGGAGGGACAAATACAGCCTCCTCTTTGCGAACTTCCATCCCATCTGTGTTTGCAGTTCAGCTGCTTTTTTAGCCTCTCGGGCAATGGCAACTGTGCAGTAAGTTCCAGAGGACGTATTTATTCTGGGTATAGGTAGTCAGGCCATTTGATGAATCTAATGAAACTGAAATGTCCTGCAAGTTGTTGGTTCTCAGGAGAAATCTGCAGTGGTTAAAAGCCTCAAGCTGGAGAAGTGCCATGGCTTCTAGTTGTCCTGGACCACTAAGATAACCAAGGTACTGTGGAGCGGGTGATACTATAAAGGCATGAAACAGGTTTTTTCCACTTATATGTAGAAGATGGAGTGGCAAAGAAGAGACAGGCTCAAATAAAGTGCTTTATATCCATTTTAATTAAGCTTCTGTAAGACAGATGGACCTTGTGGTTATCTGCAGCTCCCAGCCTCGGGCAGCCCTGTGTTGCTTAGTGTGATTGCTAAGGTGTCTGAGCCTGGGAAGAGGGAGCTAGCTGTGCTAGGATGAGAGCCAGGGAGAAATTGCTTTTGTTTTTTCTAGTTATATTAGTTACTAAAGTTCTTTGCTGCGTTTATATAACTGAGAAAGGCCTGCTTTCTGGTGTCATGAGCAGCCTGAGGAAACCTTCACTTCAGTGAAGTGTGGCCATGCTGGATTATACAAGCTTTGGTGCTTGTATGTGTGTGAGATTATGTAGAGTGACTTTCTTGACAGAGCTGGGAGGGATGTACAGAACTTATTGAAAAGGAAAGCTCCTTTTGCTGTCCATCTCCAAAAGTGTACTAATTCTGGGTCATATCACATGGACGGTGTCAACACTGTTCTGAGAAACTAGAAGTAATGGATATGGCTACAGAGCTTCAGTGCTAGTCTTCTCCCTCCAGGCCTGCCTGTTAACACTGACTCAGAGCTGACAGTTCTCTGCATGCACTATGTTCAGCCCAGTACTGACTGTGTTACACACTAGTTATAGCAGGAGTATAACAGTATATAACAGGAATATCGGGGATTAGAGCAGAGCCGAAGGTCAAGATTGCTCGTTTGAATCCTTGTACCTGCATCGTAGTTGGAGCTTGAGGTCGTCGATTGGGAGCTTGGAGCTTTGCTCTGTCGATTGATGAAGGCCGAATGGCACCAAAGTCGGACTAGATATCGTCCATGAGCGTCTGGGGTACTTTGGGTACAGTAGCTTCAGCAGAAAGTCTTGTCTTCGCTGGGCCATACAAGATCCACTTAGAATGTGGTTTCTGGTCTGTGTTGGTAGAGCTAGCTCCCGTGTCCAGGAGGTTGTTAGCATAATTCCTAGAAATCTCAACCAAGAGGAGGGTCCCCTTGAACTAGGTGCCCTGTGCATAGACACACAGGTAAGTGTGTCGGAGACATGCTTTTATGTGAGACTGGGGGGGGGGGGGGGGGGGAAAGACTTGAAGAGGCAGGATTGTTCTGCCTGTTTTTGTAGGTGGAGGTGTGGTGCAAAGGACTATTAAATAAATGGCCCAAACTGACAAAAGGAGTTGTAGCACAGCCTCCTACTGTATTAGCTATCAGCTTGTCTTTACCCCTTGTGTTATTTTTGCTACAAATAATTTGGTTACAGCTGTTGCGCTTCAGTGAAGCGGAGATGAAGTGGGAGGAGGGTGAAGTTCTGGACTTTCAGCCCCATTAGTAGTTAGTGCAGAATGAAAAAGAAAAGTGCTGCCTTACTCTGCAGCATGAGTTAGAAGTCTGCTAGTGACTGTGACTGTGAGTTCCGACAGCATGTTGTGTGTGTGTGTATCTCCACCTGGGTAGGAGAAAGCTCCTGGGAAATACACTCCTCTCATCAGACAGTATGGAGGGGGTGCTGCAAATGACCTTCTGTTTTGTGGTTTTAAACTGATGCTAAAAAGGGGAAACGGAGCACCAGTGGTAACATTTAGGCTTATTTTTGAGTTAGGAAAGGGAAAACAATTATTTTCTTTCTGGAGTGGTACTGATATGCTCTTCTGTCTCTCTGTGCTTTTGTCCTACATCCTGCCACTGTGGTTTTGGCTAGATTGAGGCTGGGAAAGTATCAGCTAATATTTTAACAGCCTAAGGCAGAAAAGTAGTGGATACGTTGGCACAGCCTCTTGCAGGCAGTGTGAGCTTGCTCTACATGTTCTCAGTGCTGCTCAAAGGCCTTGCAGCCATGTTGGTGCAGCACTGAGCTCAGCCAAAAGTGATGCTCTCAGCTGGGCTCATTAGAGAGGGCTCAGTGTCACGTTCGCTGGAGCGACCCTGTGTGTGGTTGGCATGGAGTATGAGCTTGAGTCTGCTTGGAAAGCACCGTGTAGATATCCTTAGTTTTAGCTAATGCTTTCCAAATCCTGATCAACTGAGGCTGCTGTCTGTGCAGCCTGGAGCAGGGTATTTTCCTCAGGATCTAAGAGGTGTATTTCTATTTGCTGCAAAGTTGGAGCTGCATAATTTCTGGTATAATCTGTATAGGGATGAACTGACCCTGTGGTTTTGCTGCTGCCTCTATTACTGATTTTTCCTTTTAGTGAATACATTTTCACAGTCAGAAATAAGAACGATCCCCTGAGAGTGTTGTGTGCTACATTGAGAAAGGTCCCTGTGGTGTATAGGCAATCACTTTCCTATCTTTCTCTTAACCTAACCCAGTCCAACAGTGAAATTCGTCACTTGGAGACTTGCTGCTTTTAGCTATGGAAGCGTCAGGAGCATCCACTCTGAATACTGCCCTAGTTTAGCTGGAAGGAAAGGTTAATTTTTCTCCTGAATACTCTTTTAGGCATTTAAGTTGAGTAAATGTTGACAGAATACAGATGGCTTTGAGCACTGAGAATAAAATCCTTTCAGATTTCAGTCACCATAGTGCCACAGTCCCACCAATTCTCAAGGTCACCGTAAAGTTCTCTGGGAGAAGCAGTTTAGGAAACACCTGAATTTCCTATGTAAAAATGTTTAAACCCTACTTCCCCCTCAAAAGCAATCATAAAGCCTTTCAGACATGTCATTAGAAAGAACAAAAAAGCAAACGGACAACTGAGGAATAACCTTCCTCCTACCCCCTAGCTGATTCAGGTTCCCTTACGTTGTTCGTGGAGCATACGGTACTTGTCTGCCTCTTGATCCCTGAGCAGCTGTCTCAGCTGTTTCAATAGGGAGGCCGAGGACTCAACATTCACCTTAGTATTCACATATGTTTCGTTCAAGAGTGCTGCATTTGGGGCAGGTACTTCAGCTGTTGCGTGTTCTGTGTGCACAGACTGCACAGAGAGCGTGAGCTTTGCAGCAGTGAATTCCTCTAGTAGTTTGGTACGCTCTAAATTTAAAAAAAAGGGCACCTTTTCTTTGTGAATATGATATGGGGGAATCTGCTTAGTTACTCTTGACCCAGGGAGAGGCAAGCCCTGCCCATCAGCTGAATTGCTCTGAGTGGCTTTGGATGCCTGGCAGGTCCTGAACATGTGGTTCATTTGCGCTTCTCCACTTCTGCTTTCCTCAGGAAATGAGTGCAGCAGCTCGTCAAGTGATTCACAGTGGAAAGTTTAAAGAACAGAGTGAGAGCTGCTGGGTGCACCAAGATGCCTAACAGGACAGAAGCGGTAAAGCCAGTTTCTCCGGATATGGTTATTGCCCGCAACAGGAGCTGCTGAAATCTAGGAGTGCAGGTATGAGAGCAAAAGGGAGAGATTTGAATTGTTCAAGGAAGCTGCAGTATTATCCTGCAGTTGGTTTCTTGTGACAGGATTGTTTTCAAACAGCAAAGGTGTCAGTGAAAGTTAGCCCCAAACTATGGCATAAAGAGGAAAAAGGAGCAGAGATTTGCCTGAATCCTTTATTTTGGAGATGATGATAGAATTACAGGTGCAAGGGGTACATCTGTTGCTACTGCTAATGGAGATTTGATCTATTTGGTGTAACTGCATGCCCTTGTCTCATAAGCTTTTGTTTGGGGGTGATCAGAATTGCCATGGTCTTGTTCCTTTGGGTTTATTTGCTGTAATTATGTTGTCCATGGCTAGCAAGACGCATTCTATGTTTGCTTTTGAGTTGATTGTTTTATTTCACTGCCAGCAGGCTCACACCTCAAAAGCAACTTTTTCCAGTATCTGTGTTTCTCGGCTGCAGTAGGGGCACATGCAGTGCAAGTAGAGCAGGAACTGTTCCCAATTAGATATTTAGAAGCTACTTTTTTTAAATGGACAAAATAAAAATTGAGTGGACGAGTGAGAGTCTGATTCAGTTTTATAGCCACTTTTGGGTTGCATGGAAAAGCTTTTCAAACAAAAGTAAAGCCAAGTGCGTTTAAATGTTTGAGACGAAATTAATGATTTGCCAGGTTGTACTGCAGAGAAGCCTTGTCCAACTGGGATGTACTCAAAATGAAAATATGCTTGAACATATTAAGCCCTACTGTAAACGCAACTCCTTTGGTAGTAACGTTGTCATACTTCCTTGTAACAAGCTGTATCAGGGTAGCTACACTTCTGAAAAAATGGGTTATGTCCCACTGAACTGAGACTTGTTCTTCAAACAGTACTCCGCCCTCTCTAAGCTGACAAGCATTTTAAAACTCCCCTGCTGTTTGTACTTTGTCAGTGCTTGGTTCAAGGCACCAGCTAGGTTAGGTCCCTATTGTAGAGAGTGCTGTGCCAGGACTTGGGAAGAGACAGTCCCTTCCCCAAAGAATTTGCAATCAAATAGACCTGGCAAGAATAAGTAGGGAGTTGAATGTTGTAGCTTTTTTGGAATTCATTGCAGTCCTTATATTTGAGATGATAAATAGTATGATGTCAAAGTGTAAATCTTTTCGGTGTTCTTTTTTAGGTTTGTCTCATGAAATATTATCTCGAGTTTGATCATTAAGCGTAGGGCTAGAAGGTGTAAATAATTTTAAGAAGAGCGGAGGGAGCTCAGGGGGAGAAGAACAAAGGTGATTAGGAAAGACTGAAAGATAAAAAAAGTAAATGGACACGGCCTGATACAGTGTTGTTTCTGAGGTACTGCCATTGCAACCTGTGAGCACAGAATGGTATGAGCCACAAGGAGGGAGACAAACTGAAAGGTTGAAGTAGAGGAGAGCCAAAATTAGTGGGATGAAACTGGTTCACAGGAAAAAAAAAAAAAAAAACAGTAGATGCCTTCTACTGCTTGTATCGGTTACAGCATCTGACAGCTTTCCTTGGGAGATACTGGAGTCCCTGTTGCTTTGTGCATTTAAAATGATTGGTTGGCATGACTGTTTAGAGAACTAGCTTAGCTTGGCTGCCAAGGAGGGGAAGGGAATGCAAAGAGGCATCACCCAATGAATTTGAGATGCTGTGAACCATGTGTTTCTGATAGTTATCAGAGTGTTGGGGTTTAGATTACCATATGCATCTGGAAAAAATGGTAGAAAGAGGACCAAAACATGAAATTTACTGTCAGTCTTCACTGTGTTTCAGTCAGCCATCTTGCTGTGAGACCCTTCCCTGATAACAAGCAATTTTAACATATGAGTGACTTTCTTGATCTTGGTGCGAATTGGGTTTTTGTAGCTGTAAGGGTGGGATCAGTATTTGGACTGGTGGGGGAGGTATTCCTACATAAATGCAATTAATTCTTGATTAAAAATGAGTCTAAAAAAAATCATGCTTGTCCAGCCAGTACGCTCTTAGTATCAACGCTCTGCCTGTGCTCCTGTCGGCTTTGGTCAGGCTTTCCTTCCCTTTTGTCTTACTAGTCTGAAAAGGCCTAGCCACGTTGCAGTGTGATTTCACACAGCCTTCATTTAGAACAAAAGGGAAAATACGCGAGTAAGTTTTACTTCCTCTTTGTTGCCTGATACCACTTTCCAAATGATAGCATTCGGTTTATTTGATATATTTTCACTAATTTGTCTCTTTTAATATTTATTACTTAGACTTTACTTTTGGTATCATTCTGATACCAAAACTGGAACAAGCCCTTAATTTACCCTGTGGATCAGGACAAGTGGTGGGATGCAATAGGGAGCCAACAGATTAGACCTTTTCAAAATATCTAAGCTATCCTTAATACCAGATTCTCAAATCCTGGGTCTGTAGTGTGCTGATTGGTCCAGGAGTGTAATTATGCTCCAAGAGGAATAGAAAGTACAAAGGATTTAGAAGCCCGAATGAAACTGTAGACCCCAGAAAAAACCATTAGGAGAAGGAATATTTAAAGCAGATAGTGCAAGTGCAGAGAACAGACTAATGTTCCGGGTCTGCTATTTTATTTAGTCTGATACGCCTTGTGCAGTCCAGACTGCTGGAGTAAATAATGAAACACGTTGTAAGAAATCTGATTGTGTGTGGAAATCTTTAATCTCCAGACCTACATGAAAGGAAAATAAAGATTACATAGTCTGTTACAATGAAGTCCTCATTAATGAATTTTTGTGTGTATGTGTATATCTGGCTTTAATAGTTCCTGTGGAGAGGGGAAGATACGAGAATACTGTCTGTGATCTCATTGTATGGCTTCATAGCCTGAGAATTTGTTGAGTGACCAGCCCTGCTG